TATCTTTTCTCCTCTTTGCTTCATACTGTAGGATGATGTAAAAATCTAAGGATAAAGGAACAGATTCCTGTTGCACTTCAGGCATCTTATTTCAGTCAGAAGTGCACATGGCCCTGAGGATTAAGATGCATCAGGATTTGAACTGGTTAGAGTTTTTAATAGAAGTTTGTTTTGTGCACTTACCCAAGATAAGATGCTTTATCAGTAGAGGCCATATCTCCCTAGATCATATTTGCTTTATCGGTCTTTCTTATTTCACCAGCCAACTTGATCTTGTTTGTTCAGGTGGTGACACCATTAACTTTTAACCCCCCACCCTGTCTTTGTTCTACATCTGGCATTCTGTGACAGGTCTGGCTTTTGTATTCTCCTCTTCCTAATGTCTTGCCTAGCTATGCATTTCTCCCTTGTAGCTAATATGTTGTTAGATGTAAATGCCAAATTATTTCTAGGGCAAACATTGGGTCACCGTTGTGGTATGGTAACAACTCTATTTAATATGCATGAATAACCGTACATGTTGGGGAATACAATTGTCTGCCAGTTTTAGTGAGAATCTTGAATTTGTGCTTGCTTTTGAGTTTTAAACATACAATTTTTTTCTGTTATCTAGTTATGGTTCACATTAACATGATTTGGAATGTACTCTAGGGTAAATGAGTTTTACAAAAAAAATATGGACTCAACAGCAGGCGTTCAAAGGTAGATTCGCAACTTGAATAACATGTTAAAGGCTAGCAGACTTTCAGCATGATAGAATTAAGAGTGAGGAGAATTAACATATTTATTGGGAACTGCAGTCCATTTGTATGTTATTACAAATGCCTATAACTAGACTTGTTCACATTGTCTGTCTTTGTTTCCAAGCACGTTATTCTGAAGACTTCCCAATATTGTCATCCCAGGTTAGGGCAAGTGCATAACATAGTTCAGGGACAGCTGTTGGAGCTCGGAAGACTTAATTCCTTTTGTAGGTTTCTTCATTTTGGGAGCTAGAAAATTTATCAAGCCTAGGTCTGAAAAATTACCCTTGTGGCTTTTTTCACAAGCAGACTTGCAGGTTTGCTTGCAAAGTTATGTGAACTTCAGAATTGAAAACAACTGTGATAGCCACACCAGATTTCTGGGCTCTTCCTGTACAGGATTTAGTTTCGAGTGGGCATGAATACCATCTCCTGACTGGAAAAATGAAAGGCACAACATGCTTTTCTTGTTTAAACGCATGATGATTTAATGCAACCTTTTTGTTGAAATAATGCACAGGCACATCTATGAGTTATATAGTGTAAATATTTTTAATAGTATGTTCCAGATGATGCAGTCAAATACCAATGCTGAATTTAAAATCATGTAGATATATCCCAATTTTACATTAGTAAGATGATGAAGGGGTAACTTTGCAGTGCATCTTTAGGAGATCCTAAATATAACATTGCTTTGGAAGCCAAATGGGTTTCCTGTTTTATTCTGTGAATGCAGTAGGGAGGCTGCCTATCTGTCCAGTAGGGCTGTGCAAAGCTCTGATAGCTGATTCAGTTCAGAGGAGACTCAGCCCAATTCGGTGGCCGAATCTCCAAATCTGAATTGGGAGACCCATTAATCTCTCTGAATAGAATTGGAAGCCTCCAAGTCGATTCTGAGAGATTTGGAGATTTGGCCATAGACAGTACAGGCAGGCACTAGGCAGTGCCAGGGGGAGCAGCCAGACCAGCCCTGGCTTGAGCTGGCAGCCCTGGCTTGAGCTGGCAGCCCCAGGAAAAGCTGCGGCTCCCCTGGCTGCTCCCCTGCTGGGACAAGGCAGGCAGTGCTGGCAGCCCCAGGAGCAGCTGGGGGGGATCACACGGGGAGCTGGGGAGCAGCCCCTGTTTGTTTCCCCCAGCTCCCCCATCATTCGCCCCAGCCCCTGGGGCTTCTCCTGGGGCTGCCAGCTCAAGCTGCAGCTCATCTGGCTGCTCCCCCAGCTGCCCTTCTGCCAGGGCAAAGCAGGCTGTATTGGCAGGGCCTGGGGGATCGAACTGGGAGCTAGGGGGAATGATCTTGGGCTGCGGGAACAAACGGGCTTCCCCCAGTTTCCAGTTCAATTTTCTCCAGCCCCTGTGGCTTCTCCTGGGGCTGCCAGCACTGCCTGCCTTGCCCCAGTGGAGGACAGCTGGGAGAGCAGCTTTTCCCGGGGCTGCTGGCTTAAGCTGGGGCTCATCTGGCTGCTCCGCTGTTTGCTTCCGCCAGCACTGCCTGCCTGCGTAGTCTATGGCCGAATAAGATTCGGTGCCAAATATCTTCAGATTTGGCCGAATAGAAGCGGGACAGTGATTCAAATCAACAAATCGAATCACTGTCCCTCTGAATTGCTGAATCCAAATCCAAAGAAAATACTTTCCGCTTCTCACAGGCCTGTTGTCCAGCTGCAGGGTGTTTTGAAGATGTTGTTTCTTTGAGCTACTTGTAAAGACTGATCAGCACAAACAGTCCTACTTCTGGGTTTGTATTGCATTTCTGAGCATCAACTCTGGTTTCTGTTGTGCTGGTCCAGCCAGCTATTTCATCTTGATTTCACATGTTGATATAAAGGAACGTAGCTTTCCCTAGAATGTATTTAGTTTCTTCTTTGCCACGTCTGTCAGAATGCATCCTCCCTTATAACTAACACCTTTTACTATCTGTGGAGGCATGCTATTGAATTTCAGTCTGTGGAACTAAATTATAATGGTGAAATGGCTACTTTAAAATTGTTTTAGTAAATGATAAAGGCTGCCTGTGGAACTTAAATTTGACTCCTTCATGCTTATGCATTATGAGGCAGTATTTGAGTATGTGATCAAAAAGCTTCTTTTTTCTTTATTGTGATTTGTGTGTGTAATTCCTGTGTTTAAAAAAAGAAATTGAGGAAGTATCTATTTATCTGATGGTGTAGTGATACATTCTCAGAAGATTTGGGACACTTAAATTTACAATGCCAACTTTTGCTACTTCCATAGATTTCATAGACACTAGGGCTGGATGGGATTGACATTGCTTGTGCCTTCAGGATCACTCCCTTAAGGAGCAACCATTCATCCTTAACTTCCCTCCCCTTCAAGCTGTGGTCCCTTAGGGCCTCATCAACAAGCCTCCTGAGCTTGTCAAAGTCAGCTTTCCTGAAGTTGAGGACTTCTGCATTGCTGACTGACTTGCCAGCTTTGCAGTGGATAGTGAAAGTGATCAGCTTGTGGTTACTGTCTCCCAGCTTCCCTTCGATCATTAGGTCGCTGACTAGAACATCCTCCTACTTGAGCTCATTGAAATAACCTGTAGCAGAAGTAGGTTCTTGTGATCGCTGTGTATAGGTCCTAGAGGAGGAAACCTACTTTGCCAGAGAGTTTCACAAAACTTGCTGACCAAAGAGGATATGTTGATACTTGGGGAATCTTGGGCTCCACTTGAGGCTCTGCAGAGAAGTGTGCTCATGCAGGTGCAGTTTCTATTCCTCTCAAGAGGGTGCAGGCTGGCCTCTTCTGAGTTTAGCTCTCTTCTAGTGTATTGCACTTACTACTACTTTCTTTCTCTGTGGCTTCCTATCCCCATCACATTATCATCACATCACCACTAGTAATTTCTACCCCTTGGACTTCTCATCCCATGCCAACCCTTTTGTCCATCAAGTCCTCATAGTTCTTCTCATGGATCCTGTTCTTACTTGCCCTTGGCAGCCTTCAGATCTAGTCTTCTCTCCCCACGTGAGAACCCCTGGTCTTCTCTGTATTTAAGTTTGGCAGACACCTTCTTTGTAGTATTTGAGTGTCAGCAGAAGATTACTGAGAAAGTTGAAATGAGCTCTCTGTCCTCAGGTTTTGTGCCTGTCTCTTGGTTGGCCTAGAATTGCAGTTGTAGGGAGAGTGCTTAACCCTGGGTTGGAGTAGGTCCAGTAGGATATAAGCTTTGGCAAATTTAACTTTGTACTGAGCATTTGCAAACTGACATGTTCAAAGATGCAGCTGTATATGTGTGTTAAAGGAGCAGTAAAAAAACCACTCTTCATACCCTCTAGATGGGGTGCCTTCCCCAAGTGTACATCAAGTGTACAACTCCTTAAGTTCTGTCAACTTTTTCTTTAATATGTTAAAAGTGTACTTCCACCACCCTCATTCTGTGCAATGGCTTAACTGCTTTGCCTGAAACTTTAAAAAAAAAAAAAAAAAAAAAAAAAACCCC